ACTGCCTTAAACTCTATGGCTCTAGTTTCCTTCCATAAGCGAATGGGAAATATGTTGTATTATTAATAAACATACCAGCTCAAGGCCCCTTCAAACCTAAAAGGCAGATCTTTGAGGCACAGGGTCTGGCCTTTTGGGCTTTCCATGTGACTCAGTTGGTAAAGAATCTGACTGCAATGCAGGAGACATGGGTTTCATCCCTGGGTCAGGAAGATACCCTGGGGGAAGGCATGGCAACCTACTCCAGTATTCTTGCCTGGAGAATCCCATGGACCAAGGAGCCTAGTGGGCTATAGTCCATGGGGTCACAAAGAGTTGGACACGACTGAGCAACTAACAATTTCACTTTCTTTTCTGGCCTTTCACTGATTCTCCCAATAGCCCTAGTCACTCACTCTACCCTTTTATGGCACATTTTTCAATGTTATAGAAAGACGAACATGTCCCACGTAAGCCTTTGCTGACTGCCACCAGGGTATCAGCTTCCATCGTCCTGGGACAGAACCTTAGTAACCTTTCTTTCGTCTCCAGGACCTAGCCAAACTCTTGTGATCAAATAGAGACGGTTAATAAGAAAATTTTACAGTTAGCTTTGAAAAACGTTGCACCTGGCCCATGGAAGATAATCAGAGAGAGTGTGCTGAATTGAATATTTCAGTGTATCCAAAGTAAAACCTGCCGTTTGGAAGGCTACGAGATGAGGTATCTGATCATTTCGCATTCTTCCTGACCTCATCAAACTCTTGATTTGGAAGCTTTTATTAGGCAAGTAAAATGCGAGACTGCAGATACCTTTGTGCCCTGCCAGCTACTTCTCTGGGATTCTTTCCTCCTCAGCATCTCCCATGAATATATCTTCTTTGCCACAGCACTTATTTTCTCCCCCTGCTGAAACCTTTGTGTTAGCTCTCCCTCTGTTCCAGCACAAAGAAAACGAAATCATTTCCGGGGAATGAAAGGCTGGACTTGAGGATGTGATGAGTTGCTCTCTTTACCGAGACCAGTGACAAAATAGCGGAGTGGGACAGCAGAGGTGACGACAATAAAAATGCCAGCCCAGGATATTTTCTAGACAGAGTCCTTGCAAGGCAATAACTAAATTACAAGGGACTGTGAAGAACAAAAAGAAAGGACGTCCCACCTGCCACCGGTCTGACTCAAATGCACCAGGAAGAATGTGCAACAGCTTTAGCGTTTTTTTCTTGCTCTTGGCAGAGAAGAGCGAGGTTGGGGTGTTCAAGTTGTTAAGTAGAAGAGGAAAATCAGACAATAGCTGGGGAGGTGAAAGGAAGCAACGGGGGCCAGGGTGAAAAGAAAAGGTGAATTTAGCAGAGGGTGGGAGATGCTGGAAGGGATTTAGTGTTTAACACATTTGTAGGTAAACCCTTGCGATCAAACAGGAATGATGGATGAAAAAGTGTTACCGTTGGTTTTTAAGAAGGTTATATGGACAATTTCTAGTCTTCTAAATGCAGCTAGTTCAATGTAAGTGCAACAAGAACAGACAGCCTTGGTACCTCAATAACAATGTTCCTAAGGCCAGGCTATGGGTTTCTGTTTTTGGTAAAAAAAAAAAAAAAAAAGGGGGNATGCTGGAAAAGATTGAAAGCAGGAGGAGAAGGGGACGACAGAGGATGAGATGGTTGGATGGCATCACCAACTCAACGGACATGAGTTTGGGTGGACTCTGGGAGTTGGTGATGGACAGGGAGACCTGGTGTGCTATGGTGCATGGAGTTGCAAAAAGTCGGACAGGACTGAGTAACTGAACTGAACTGAACTGAAAAACTTGTTTTTAAAAAAAGTCCTTTTCATATTTTAATGACGAACACTTGTAAATGGAATCCAATACAGCACACCTGTATAGATTTCTCAATAGATTAGGCAATACGATATTTTTGTGATACTGTTCTCATAAATGGCACCCCCTTACCTCCCCAGTTGCAATTAATTGCTTCCTGTTTTGTGCTTACGAAGGATTTATTTGCAGCCCCGTTTCAGCGCTTGTGACATTTGGGCTCTTTCGCTGGTAGATGACTGAGTGTCTGCCTCCTACTTTGAACCTAAGGTTCAGAAGGCTCTTTCTCACATTTTGTACATCGAGCACCCAGCATGACCCTCAGGGTACAAGATTTACTCAAGTGAATGTGCAAAATTACACGCTAAGTGGAGAGTGTCATTTAGAAAGGATGTTTCAGTGAGATCGACAGTTCATCTGAATTACTGGGCTGCAGAAGGTTTAAGCAAAAGGACTATTAAAGCATGCAGATGGAGTGCTGTGTGTAATGCTTCAGCCACTTTAATTCATTGGCCAAGCAGAAGCACACTGATGGTAAGGCGTGTGAGAGCTATATCAAGAGGATGCCCTGGCTACGAGAAGACAGGTGGAAATATCCCCCTGTCCCGCTGATCTAACTGTTCTATGGTTAATTACACAAGAGGTCAACGTCCAGATCTACCAGCAGGGCTTGGGGATATCCCAGAGACATCTTAAGGACAGAGCTTCCAGGCTTGCCTTTCAAATGCAAATTTGAAGAACACAGGCGATGCTGCATTCCCCTCACTGCACTGATACTAAAGTGCAAACAGCTTGGATATGCATTCTACCCAAACTTGGATTGGCTCAGTACCATGACAGGTAAAGAGGAGGGACTCAGAGAACTCTGTTCTGCCCAGGGCTTTGTATTTGAAAGAACTCATTGTCCTCACACCACAGAGCCAGGGCCTGTTGGACTGTTGCACATGACCTGGAAATAGCCCCGTTGCACAGAATCTACAGAGCTGGACATCGTAATAATGGTGCTGTTGACAATGGCTCTCATCTGGCCCAAGTTATCATCATCTATTATTTTATTTTCTATTAGTTAAAGTGAAACTCTTACACCAGGATTCTGCTCCAATTTCTAATTCAGGAAAGCATGTGTGTTTTCTGCCTCACAATGCTTTCCCGGGACCATAAACCCTCAATTTCCTCTTTCCGGCAATAAAATAGTTCTCATTTCCAGAGCCCATCAGACAGGTCTTTTTAAAGGAGGCCGTAATTGGTGGCATTGCTGCAGAGACTGAATTAGAGTGGTGTTGGCAGACCCACGGGAAAGTCATTCTCTTGGCCTGCCCTACTGACAAGATAGGATTTAGGACACTTGAAAGAGGTTGGCTTTCACTCAGTTTCTGAGTAGTAACTTTTGTCTGACTTGCCCACGAGGCCCTGACATCCTGCTCAAGGAACATCACGGGTCACAGAACCAGGCAGCCTGGGGATCCAGCCCAGAGAGAGAAAGGCATTCCGTGGAGTGAGATTCTCCCCAGCTAGCTGTTGGTCCCGCTGTGCGGGGGGACAGCCGAGCCTCCGCTCACCTCTCAGCCGCTTTAGCCTCTGCTCACGCCTCCTCCTCCGAACCACCAGCAGGAGCACAAACAGCATCAGGACCCCCACCAGGATACAGGAGATGGTCACCAGCATCTTGAGCCCCTCGTTGGTTGTCAGCCCTTCATCGCTTTGGACAACTGACTTAATGAGTGGGGGGATTGTACCTGAAAACAGGGTCATGATGTTAGGTGGCTGTTAATGACGACAGCATGGCGGAGTTTTTAGGGATGATGGGTTATAAGAACCGCGCGAGTGATCCGAGGGCGTCCACGGAGATGAAGATGAAAGGAACTCTTCATCTAGGTCCTTGCTAATTTCTTTACTACTCACTTGCCTCCTATGCTTACTCTACAGAACATGGAACTAGAGTCTGCACAAAGGACAAAGCCCATTTCTTTGAAAGGGACTTCACTGGTAACGTGCTGGGTGCAGACACTTGAAAGCATAATATCCAGGCGGGGTGCTTTAAAAAGTCACATGCATTTACCTGGAGTTGAGTGTTACCCAGAACACAATTGAGAGTGGCTGTTTGAAAAATTGCACATCAAAGAAGGAACAATGGGTTTGGCAAGTGGACAGAAGGCAGGCTTTGGGGAGACTGTACCAGATAGACCTGCTTAAAGGAGCTGAAAATCTCTCTTTGGTTATTTCATTGCTCTTTATCATGGATGTAAGACCAAATCTACTTTTAAAAGTCTCCTTTCAGGACATTAGAGCAAAATCAACTTTTCAAAGAGGAGCTATCCAGGTCTCTAAAGCAAGCTATTTACTGACCCTTATAATGCTCTGAAACTCAGATTATTTAGAATTACAAGGAAACACTTAAGCAGTCTGAACTCTGAGCTGCTTTAAGCTGCCTTCTGCTGAGACGCTGAACAAAATGGGTCCAGAGATTCAAACACAGGCATGCCCTTTTATGGAGCTTGCACTTTGGCATCCACCACTATGAAAAGATGCTCCAGTCTTCTGTATTTTCCATGTAAAACAAGGGCCAGGAAGCCAGTAATTTAGGAAAAATAATGCAAAAATAATATAATTTCCTTTTGAACAAAAAGTGTCTTTGTCCTGCATTTAGTGAGTAGAGCAGGAATACAGAACACCAGGCCCCTCTGCTGTCTGCTAAGGCCAACAATATCATTCTTCCAATTTATAAACACTGGTTTTGGCTGGAGACCTGGGACTGCAAATGCTCAGAATTCAGGTAAGAAGCACAAAAGGGGATGCAGGTGAGGATGTGTCTACAGAACCAAGATGACACAGGACCAGTACAAACACCTGGCTGAAGGAATGGCAGAATAAGGAGTCCAAAAAAATATGGAAGAATCTGAAATCTGACTAGTACAGACAGAAAGCTAATCATCAATGTTTGTTTTTCCCCAAATGAAAAAAAATTCTTCAGGCAGAAGTGATACAAGAGATATTAAAGCTATATATCCACAAGGTTGGTTCAAAGAAATATGTAACCTTTTTCAAGGAAAACAGACATACGCATTTTTCTTTTTAGTGTAATAAAATCATTTCAGATTTCAGAACATTTTACATGTAGGAAGAAAGGCATTCCGTGGAGTGAGATTCTCCCCAGCTAGCTGTTGGTCCCGCTGTGCGGGGGGACAGCCGAGCCTCCGCTCACCTCTCAGCCGCTTTAGCCTCTGCTCACGCCTCCTCCTCCGAACCACCAGCAGGAGCACAAACAGCATCAGGACCCCCACCAGGATACAGGAGATGGTCACCAGCATCTTGAGCCCCTCGTTGGTTGTCAGCCCTTCATCGCTTTGGACAACTGACTTAATGAGTGGGGGGATTGTACCTGAAAACAGGGTCATGATGTTAGGTGGCTGTTAATGACGACAGCATGGCGGAGTTTTTAGGGATGATGGGTTATAAGAACCGCGCGAGTGATCCGAGGGCGTCCACGGAGATGAAGATGAAAGGAACTCTTCATCTAGGTCCTTGCTAATTTCTTTACTACTCACTTGCCTCCTATGCTTACTCTACAGAACATGGAACTAGAGTCTGCACAAAGGACAAAGCCCATTTCTTTGAAAGGGACTTCACTGGTAACGTGCTGGGTGCAGACACTTGAAAGCATAATATCCAGGCGGGGTGCTTTAAAAAGTCACATGCATTTACCTGGAGTTGAGTGTTACCCAGAACACAATTGAGAGTGGCTGTTTGAAAAATTGCACATCAAAGAAGGAACAATGGGTTTGGCAAGTGGACAGAAGGCAGGCTTTGGGGAGACTGTACCAGATAGACCTGCTTAAAGGAGCTGAAAATCTCTCTTTGGTTATTTCATTGCTCTTTATCATGGATGTAAGACCAAATCTACTTTTAAAAGTCTCCTTTCAGGACATTAGAGCAAAATCAACTTTTCAAAGAGGAGCTATCCAGGTCTCTAAAGCAAGCTATTTACTGACCCTTATAATGCTCTGAAACTCAGATTATTTAGAATTACAAGGAAACACTTAAGCAGTCTGAACTCTGAGCTGCTTTAAGCTGCCTTCTGCTGAGACGCTGAACAAAATGGGTCCAGAGATTCAAACACAGGCATGCCCTTTTATGGAGCTTGCACTTTGGCATCCACCACTATGAAAAGATGCTCCAGTCTTCTGTATTTTCCATGTAAAACAAGGGCCAGGAAGCCAGTAATTTAGGAAAAATAATGCAAAAATAATATAATTTCCTTTTGAACAAAAAGTGTCTTTGTCCTGCATTTAGTGAGTAGAGCAGGAATACAGAACACCAGGCCCCTCTGCTGTCTGCTAAGGCCAACAATATCATTCTTCCAATTTATAAACACTGGTTTTGGCTGGAGACCTGGGACTGCAAATGCTCAGAATTCAGGTAAGAAGCACAAAAGGGGATGCAGGTGAGGATGTGTCTACAGAACCAAGATGACACAGGACCAGTACAAACACCTGGCTGAGGGAATGGCAGAAGAAAGAGTCCAAAAAAATATGGAAGAATCTGAAATCTGACTAGTACAGACAGAAAGCTAATCATCAATGTTTGTTTTTCCCCAAATGAAAAAAAATTCTTCAGGCAGAAGTGATACAAGAGATATTAAAGCTATATATCCACAAGGTTGGTTCAAAGAAATATGTAACCTTTTTCAAGGAAAACAGACATACGCATTTTTCTTTTTAGTGTAATAAAATCATTTCAGATTTCAGAACATTTTACATGTAGGACGTTTTTCATGATTCTAATCTGAGATCTTGGATAAAGTGAGGACATTTCTTTTAGAAAATAGCCATTTAAAGTCTGCAGAGCACTTTGTAAGTAAGAATGACAGTTTCAAATGCTGCATGTGAGAGGTTGCTAATTAAATGATTAGCTGTAAGCCTATCACCAATGCGCACCTTGAAGCCCTGCGCTCTGGACCACACAGATTACAGTGAGTCTGGGCGCCAGAGTGGGATGATTGAAAGGCAATTAGTGGACATCCGTTATCTAAAGCAAGAAATATATTTTCTGCTCAAATGTGTATCCTGCTATCAAAGGACTTTGGGGAGCCTTTAAACACTAGGGAAAACGTTTGGTCAGCGTCAAACCCTTTATTTTAAAAGATCAAAGAATGAAACAGAAATGGAGGAGAAAGCAGGTCAGACGTGCTACTCTATGGTAGCTGATGCTCTGTGATGGAACCTCTTGAAGTCACTGCTGATTGAGGCCAGGAGATTAGAGTGATGCGGCCCAGGAGGAGCAGGGCTTCTGAGGAGAAGCCTCACATCTGGGAGCTGGATCAGCGGTCTTGAGGGCGGGGGCCCAGGCTGGTATCACCAGCTCCAGGACTCTCACATAGGCACTTTCTTGCCTTCACCCCACCCAGGCCTGCAATGCTGGGGGCGAGCCTGTGCTCTGGCTGGGGAGGAATCTGTGCAGGAGATTCCAGGATGGGTTCACAGTATGCCAGGGTGGGAGGGACAAGCCCAGGGCCAGTCAAGACTGACCAGGGGAGGAGCTGAGTCCACATCACCTCCAGAGCATCCTTCGGTCACATCCCAGGCTCCTTGGGTTTATGGACTCTCTTTTCTTAGGACAGGATAACCAGTACTCCAAGGGAGTTCCTGCCAGAGCTTTAATTAAGGCAAGATCCTGAATGCACACAGGCAGAGGAGAGAACACCCCTTAGCCTTTCCAGTGAAGAACAGAATGAGGGGGTTTGCTCAGGCACAGACTTTCTGAGTAAGTCACTAGGCACCATGGTCTGGCCTGGTGGGTAGATGCTGGACAGGAGCTCCAAGGGAGCTGAGCCCACAGCTCCAGGTTATCTGAGCAGTGGAGACTGTTTTTACAAATGAGCACAGCACCTAATTCAGCCACTGCCTTTCCTAGAGTGGACCACCGCTGCAAAGCTGCAAAAATCAGCTCAACTTGCTGCTAGTTAGGACTCTCTGAAATCCCCTGACTGCAGAACCATCAATGTCAGACTGCCTTTAGCTTCACTGGGCTTGACATTTGTTCAATATCAATAAATGGTGCACAATACTAGTTGTAGGAAAAAAAAAAAAGGATAAAAATGTCTCTCTCTTATTTTCAGTCAACTAATTGCCATGAGACACCTTGCCTGGTTTTCAGAAACCCCTTGCAAATTGCATGTTTGTGCGTGCCCATGAATGTGTGCATGCATGCGTATGTTCATGTGTGTGCATGTCCACTACCATCCTATGACATTATTCTATTTCTATCTGTGCCTCTGTTTCTTCTCAGAGACTAACATAAGTGCCTTCACTTATGGAAAACTGCTTTTGCACATGCAATTTAAGGGCTAAATGAGAGAAAAAAGAAAGCTGTTATGTGGTTTGGGATGGGGTGGGCGGAGAGGAGGGAGACAACAAAAGCAGTGTTAGCTCACAGTCATGATGAAGCACCAACCACGTGCAGAGAAGCCTTCAGCCCAAAAAGAAGTCACTCCTGCACCCTGACTGCCTAGTGAGGGTCCCCGGGCCTCAGTCCCTCCTTCCTGGAACTCAGCCATGGGCACATGGGTACCTGGTCTAGGGAGCCCTGGCGGGGAGCAGACTGGATGACCCCAAAGCCTAAGGGGATCTGCGGGCACGGGTCACATTGCGCCGAGGATGGATGTTGAATGGGAGAGGGACAGCGAGCTTGCGCACATGTCCCGAGACGCAGGCGGGAGGCCGGGGCCAGCTTACTGCCATCGTAGTTGAGCGTGGCGAAGTTGGTCTGCTTCTCTGCACAGCCTGCGCTGTTGCACACCCTCATCTGCAGCTCATACCACGTGGCCTCCTGCAGGTCATACAGGATATAGGACTTGGAGAGGGAGGTTCGCTGGGCTGTGGTCCAGACAGTGGGAAGTACCCACAGCATCATTGCTGTCCAAGTGCCTCGTACTGGAGCCCAAGGACCCGATGGGTATGTTTCTGCAGAAGTCAGCACTTCATCATCTGAGCCCTGGTGTGTGTTATGCAAAACTCAGCACTGCATCCAAATAACACCCTCGCCTGCTGATGTCTGGTGCGCCTGTGATGTGGTCCATGTAACTTGATGAGAGTCAGCAGAAGGAAACCTGCAAAGACCCCCCTCTTCACCTCCTCAACTACACTCACGTGCAGTGCCATCCCGCCCTCCTGATGCTGTTTTCAGGCTGCACATTTCACCTCTGAACATCACTACCCTGGGGTTCGCCTCCCTAAAGGTCCACCTTTCAGAGGGAAAACCAGCTCACACTGAAGGTTAACAGTCAACCCCAGTGACTTCTCATCTAGAAAGCAGAGTCTATGAGGCAAGGTGACAGTTATAAATAGAAGGAGGGGGGGATGACAAGGGAGAAGGTCACCCTAGGAGAAGGTGAGAGGGCAAAGGTCACACTTCATGGCTACCCAGCCTGGGAACTGGGTAGCACTGTTGGCATCAAAGGCCTTGATTTTCAAATGACACTTCTTTTTTAAAAAACATACTTCTTTTTATGAAAGTATAGTTAATGTACAATATTGTATTGGTTTCAAGTATAGAGCAAAGGGATTCAGTTATACATATGTGTAAATATATATATATATATATTCTTTTCAGATTCTTTTCCCTTTTAGGTCATTACAAAATAGTGAGTACAGTTCCCTGTGCTATACAGTAGGTCCTTGTTGTTGATCTGTTTTATACAGTAGTGTGTATCTGTTAATTCCAACTCCCAATTTAGTCCTCCTCTCCACCTTTCTCCTTTGGGGACCACAAGCTTAGTTTTTATGTCTATGGACACTCTTCTTTTAAACTGCCAATGAAATAATTAAAAAAAAGAGAATCACACTATTTTGTAAAGACCAGCCGTCTCTCTCAATATGCTGAAACACTGCCAGACCCATCCAAGGATAACAACGTTCAAACTCACAGATCCATGATGCATCTTTTGTGACTCCAATCTGCTGCCCCGCCCCCCTCTTTGATCTGGAAGACAGAGGATCTCTAGAAACAACAGAAGTCTTACATACCTTTGCCCAATGTTTTCGCTTCTATGATCTCACTTATGCGCCCGGGTCCCACTCCGTTCTGTGCAGTGAGAGTGAACTTGTACCAAGTCCCACACTTCAGGTTTTCCAGGCGGTAGGAGCGTTCGCTGGGGCTGATGGGAAAACTCCCCCACTGCTCACTGTTGTCCTCGGAGTACTGCAGTATATAACCTGCAGAAAACAAGAGGCAGTCACGCGAACGTTACTTGCTTTCCCTCGAATGCTTGCACTGTGTGCAGGGTGAGTTCTCAGAACTGTATATCTTCAGAAGAGAATAATTGAGCTCCAGGACACTGAATCCCGGCTGGGAGAAGTGCTGTGATGACATATTGATTATGAGATATTTAGGCTACACCAGATGCTACAATGGTGGGAGTGCTGGAGAATGTAATGATGTTAAAACCACGTTCTGCCCATTCTCTTTAAAAGGTGTAACTGGACACCCAATCTCTAAATACATGATCTTCAGAGCATATGTGCCCAATCCTTGGGAACGGGTGTCTCTGAAGCTGGGTTATTTTTATATATTATATATATTACGTGGATGCATGCAAAGCCACTTCAGCTGTTTCTGCCTCTCTCTGACCCTATGGACTATAGCTCATCAGGCTCCTCTGTCCATGGAATTCTCCATGCAAGAGTACTGGAGTGGGTTGCCCATATCCTCCTCCAGGGGATTTTTCCAACCCAGGGATTGAACCCGGCTCTCCCCCTGCATTATAGGCAGATTCTTTATGGCCTGAGCCACCAATGAAGCCCTCTTATATAAATATATGTTATATATTCTATGTATATACAAGTATATATTATGTATTAAATATATACTTATATATAATATATTTTATAATATCCTCCTGGTGTTTCAAATGGTAAAGAATTCACCTTCAATGCAGCAGACATGGGTTCAGTTCCCGGGTCAGGAAGATCCCCTGGAAAAAGTGAATGGTGACCCACTCCAGTATTCTTGCCTGGAGAATCGCATGGACAGAGGAGCCTGGTGGGCTACAGTCCTTGAAGACTCAGAGAGTCAGACGAGACTGAGCTACTAACACTGTCACACTTTCACATTATACATAATATACATTTGGTTTCATAGAGAACCGGAGTTTTGGAGAAGGGGTAAGCCATCCAAAGGGGTAGGACTCTTCTCAGCCGGCTCTGCTCTGTCCATAATCACTGTGTCGGGCATTATCCACAGCCTGTTACTCACACCACCTCACATAACTCTGCACATTAGTAGTTAACATCTCCAGAGCACTGACCAAGACACTGAGGTCCAGAGAGGTTAGGTCATCACTCTTGGGTCTGACCAGCAGGATTCACATCCCACTGTCAGACTCTGAAGCCTGCGCTCCTGGGCCCCTGTGGCCATGGAGACAACCCCCACCCCTGTTACAGCCTTCATCCCTGCCACCCATCCACCTTCCTGGGGCAAAGATGTCCTGTCTGTTCTGTCCTTGTCTCCTAAGCATTCACACCCAGACAGCCCAGGACTAGCCTGCTTGATGTGTGGTGTTCTTATACCAGCATGCTGGCATCTTCTCTCCTGCCCATGGAACTCCATTTTAACACCAGGAAGAAAGCACTTCTCACGTCCACATCACAGAGCCTGCCAACCCCAAGCTGGCAGCAGCCAGTGTTTTCCATGCATCTCACATGAGGTCACCTACCTCTGACTCCTCCTTCTGCGGCCATGGTCAGCATCATCTCTGCTGCTCCCTCCTTCCCTGCCCTCTGGCGCCTGCAGCCTTGGGGCCCCTCTTTCCCGAGCTTTGTTTTCCCCTCCATGCTCCTGATCTGCACTCAGCACCGGGCAGGCGAGTGATGGATCTGGGTCTAGCTCCCACGGTCATCCTGACTTCACCACTCCTTGGAGCCCCATGCATCACGGGGCTTGTGCTTTCCTCCTCATGTCCTCCATCTAAACCGCTTCTAGGAAGCTTTTCTAACCACTGGCCATGGGAACCCCCATGTCAATGGCTTTGGCCGCCACTGTATTTCAAGGATTTCTGGTCATCTTTGCTTGGAGACTCTTCATTACTGAAATTGGCTTCATCTCTAAGACCTTCCAGAGAAGGCAATGGCAACCTACTCTAGTACTCCTGCATGGAAAATCCCATGGATGGAGGAGTCTGGTGGGCTGCAGTCCATGGGGTCGCTAGGAGTTGGACATGACTGAGTGACTTCACTTTCCCGCATTGGAGAAGGAAATGGCAACCCACTCCAGTATTCTTGCCTGGAGAATTCCAGGGACGGGGGAGCCTGGTGGGCTGCCGTCTATGGGGTTGCACAGAGTTGGACATGACTGAAGCAACTTAGCAGCAGCAGCTAAGACCTTCCACTCCATGCCCTTCCTGTAATTCTTCTCCTATGAACTCACACTTCCTCTGTCCATAGGATTCTCCAGGCAAGCATACTGGAGTGGGTAGCCATCCTTTTCACCAGGGGATCTTCCCAACCCAGGGATTGAACCTGGGTCTTCTGCATTGCAGGCAGATTCTTTACCATTTGAGCCACCAGGGAAGCCCCTCCAGACCCAAGACTTTGTGTCATTTGAGCCTCGAGTCCTAGGGTTCCTCAGACTCCTCCATTGGTACCCCATTTTTTAAAGGTTCTCCACCCAGCTTAGAACCTCTGGTAGACCATCTTAACCAGAAGCCTGGTTTCACTCACTCTGATGAGTCCTGGCCACACTTACCCTGCCGGTCACCAGCTTTGGGCAAGTCATTGGTCACCTCTTGGGCAAGTCATTAACCTGTGATGCCTGTGACCACTGCAATCTGTGCCGTTTCTCTGTAGCTGGGGCCTTATTCCTCTGGGCAACGGCTTTGCTTCCCCATTAATGACTCCCTGTGCATTTCCTATGGCATCTGTTACAGATTTTACCCATGCTCCTCAAACCCACAAACACATCCTCTTCCCTAATCATCCAACTATTTTAAAAAATAATACCACTTTTTTCTTCCCTAAAATGGGGAAAGATCCTCCCCTTCGCCCAGTGGAACACTAATCAGTGTTTAATAATTGGCTCTTGAAAAAAGAAAAGCCCCTATGGGTAGCATTTTTTATTTGGGTGGTATGCACATATCCCTGACCTGGCTGTGATTACTGAGGGCAAAGCTGGGAAGAGGAGCGGCAACTTGCTATCATGAGCTGAAATGAGCTGGCTCCAGATGTCACTGGCCTTGCTCTAAAGTGGCTCTGTATGTCCAGTTGTTTTCTCACCCTCATCCTCTCTCAGAAGAAGGATGTCCTCTGCCTGCAGAAATCTATCCTCCAGACTCTCCCAGCTGCTCTAGGACCCCTTTTGTCACTTGCTCCTTAATCCCATGCGTCTGCAGTTGCTCCTCTGGGTTCTCTCTCTCCACTTGGTCCACATATTGCTCAGAATGTTCTCCCAACCCTACTGAGGCTGGAATCATCAGGCTAGCTCATTCCTTCAGTTTGTGAAAGTGGAAGTGTGAGTCACTCAGTCGTGTCTGACTCTTTGTGTGACCCCATGGACTGTAACCTGCCAGGCTCCTCTGTCTATGGGATTCTCCAGGCAAGAACACTGTCGTGGGTTGCCAAATCCTTCTCCAGAGGATCTTCTCAACCCAGGGATTGAACCCAGGTCTCCCACATTGCAGGCAGATTCTTTACCCTCTGAGCCACCAGGGAAGCCCCTTCCTTCCATTTAAATACCCTTATTCTTTTCTACTGATTGCAAAAGATTTGAGGAACTACGTCACACTCATTTTTTAGTCCATTCTAAGAACAGTCGCTGTGGTTACTCAATTGAAGGAATAAGTAACTAAACAGAAGAAGCAGTGTTGACAACAAGGGAAGAAACACAATGTGGCCTCTTAGGAGAGAGGCACCACATTTGTTTATTCTTTCTTTACTGCTGTTGTTCAATTGCTAAGTCATGTCCAACTCTTTGTGACACCATAGACCGAAGCACACCAGGTTTCCCTGCCCTTCACTCTCTCCTGGAGTTTACTCATACTCATGTTCTTTATTGGCATGTGTTAATATTTCACTCTCTGTGGATCACAATAAACTGTGGAAAATTCTTAAAGAGATGGGAATACCAGACCACCTGACTTGCCTCTTGAGAACTCTGTATGCAGGTCAGGAAGCAACAGTTAGAACTGGACATGGAACAACAGACTGGTTCCAAATAGGAAAAGGAGTACGTCAAGGCTGTATATTGTCACCCTGCTTATTTAACTTATATGCAGAGGACATCATGAGAAANGAGAAGGGGATGACAGAGGATGAGATGGTTGGATGGCATCACCGACTCAATGGACATGGGTTTGGGTGGACTCTGGGAGTTGGCGATAGACAGGGAGGCCTGGAGTGCTGCAGTTCACGGGGTCGCAAAGAGTCGGACATGACTGAGTGACTGAACTGAACTGAACTGAATATTTCACTCAGACTGGATGCATGGTAATGATTCTGTGAATGAATTTCCTTGGATGAAAGAGTGAGTGACAACAAATACTATAAAAATAGATGTGTGTTTGTGTGTGTGTGTGTGTGTGTATGTGTGTGTAGGTAATGGAAGAATTCATTATATGATGAGTTTGGGGGAGAAACAAACTAACATATGACAATTACTTGATAAAAATGTGTCACTTATCAGTCTGTGGATAATGTCAATTAATCAACCATTGTGGGCAACCTCTTTCTTCTTACCTCTTATAGAACTGCCTCCATTGTCCCCAGGGAGCCACGAGAGGGTGATGGAAGAAGAGGTGGTTTTTGAAACTGTGAGCCGAGGCTGATCTGGTGGAACTAGAGAGGAAGCAGTTTTTAGAAAACAAGAATTAGTTGTTCACATCTCCAGTCTTCTTTAACAGTCATTTACCAAATGGTTTTTAACAGCCATTTATTAAATAAGTGTTTCAGGTTGACAAAATATGCAATTCATGTCTGTCAAAATGTCTATTTAATTGATATCCTGGGCTAAAGAGCTAGAACAGAATGATTCTATTCTTTAAAGAAATTCAACCCCATTTCTACTTGGATTCATTTCCTCATTCCCTCGCCAATTCCTTGAGTATCTGAGTTGCTCATCACTCATTAAAACCTTCTGTGAACTTACTAAAGATACACGCATTATTTTACTCTGAATTTCAGCCATGATTCAATTGACAAAGACAAATGGTACCTACTTAGCTTTTCTGTTCTCAGCTATATGAAAGGGGGAGGGTATGTGTAGCTAGTGAGAAAAAACTGCAAAAATTTCCAGTATTTGACCCACCCTTCAAGAGGCAACTCACACACACACATACACACACACACATTCTCCACTGAAATCGTAGGTGCGCCATTGAGTGGCAGTACACACACTTGAATTGTCACATAAGGTTCAAAGAATACATGCTTCTTATCAATGAGCCTTAGTAATGTTTTGGATTAGCTCTCTGGACAGAAATACTGAAGAAATTTGGAGTAAGGTTATCAAAATCATATAGAAAGCTTCTCATAAAATGTCCTCTTTTCCTCTGAGAGAAGCCTGGTATTAACCCAAAACCATGAAAAATAGATTCATCTCTTTAGAGTTATAATATAGTATCTATCTCTGAAAAATGCCCTGAAATTCTCCCGACTTCAAGTTACTTGAAATTCCATGTCAATTTTACATTATTTTAAAAAATAGATAGTTCTCCTTCCCTTCCTTCCCACCGAGGGCAATATTTATTTTATTTTTTATCAAACCTCCTGTGATTTATTAGTATGATAACATAACTTAGTGTGATTAATTTAATGTGACAATATTGTAAATGCTATATTAATTGTTAATGTGATAACACATCTGGAAAAGTACACACTTTGATTTTTCTACTCATAAAATATCACTGTGCATTCAAATTTGAACCCAATCAGTGGCCATTTGGGATTCTATACATGTTTTTAATTCAACAGTCTTAAATTTGTCATGTACTTTTGGAGTATGAAGTCAAGGAAAAAATTACATGCACTGTATTAAATACACAATTAAACATGAATGCCCTATAGAGTTTCAGTTAGTGTCCTTATGATATACAATGCATATGACTAGTGAGTTAATTAACATTCATAAAGCATCTCAATTTGGAATTATTTCTTGCTGGTATTTTCTGGGTGACACTTATATACATGTGGAGTAAATCATGCAATTAGGATGTTATTAGGAAGGGCTTTTTCAGGGATGCACACATAAAGACAGATGAGACTAGGCTTTCATATGAAAATAAGTAAACAGTGTTAGCTCTCAGGTTATGAATGCTGTTTATTTACTTTGATTTGTTTAATTCTAATCTCCAAAATGAACATCTATGCTTTTGTTATATGAAAGTAGCAATTAGCTCTTTACAAAGGCTGATTTTTAAATTTGCTCACTTTCACTCTTTGCACATAGGCATACATACAAAAAGCAGCATTAAGAAGAGCCCCCAGACGTGGTACCTTGTACTTGTAAATTTAAGATAATTTCATCCGACCCCCAGTTGTTATTGGCGATGCAGCTGTAATAGCCAGAATCCTCTGCCTTCACCGTGCGGATGACAAAGCTACCATTACTGAAGACGCTTCTCCGCCCATCAATCGTTACCAGGCTGGGTGTCCCGTTACTACCTCACAGGAAGAAAAAGGCGCAGATTAAAGAAATTACAATCTAAGTTAGCTGAGGTTGGGGAAAAGTATAAACACTCTCCGAAGCAGACAACCCATTCAGAATATCATATTAAGTAAGAACTAAACCATGACTGTATGATGAAAACACTCACACAGTTGAGTTTGATTGTTTGTACAAAATGCTGTGTTGAAGTGAAGTTTGTGTGGAGGTCTGTGTGGCTTCTGGCTCCTGACATAGGTCAATGCCTGTCATATCCCAAAGGGGATTGCTTCTGTGGGCAGATATACCATTTTGATCAAATCATATTGGGACAATTAAGTTTTGGGGTGGCTTGTAGATTCATGGAAAATTGCAGTTGTTAATGATTGTGGCATCAGAAATGAATGGCGGTGTGCCAAGAGGGTGATGAACCAACCCTGGTATAAAGAGAGCTCCCTTGGTGGTGTCATAGCATTGGCCACAGGGAGAGGGGATTGTCCAGTCATCTAGGGCCATCCCCACATCTGGTGGACGCCACTTAACCTTGGGAGCTTACTTATTTCCTTAACTGACAGTAAAAGAGATGAGAAAGTGGTCACTGAGGAAGGCATGGCAACCCACGCCAGTGTTCTTGCCTGGAGAATCCCATGGACTGAGGAGCCTGGTAGGTTATGGTCCATGGGGCTGCAAAGAGTCAGACAGGACTCAGTGACTTAGCACACACATACCAAGACTATCCTTTCAATAGTTTGTCTTTGAAGTGCCTTTGTTTGAAAATAGGGACTCTTCTCAATCTCAAATCTTAAATCTCTAGGTTCATCAGTGAATGCTCAGCTCTTTATTTATACCTTAATTTCTTCCCCTGAATAAAGTACTTTAAAAAGTTCACATGAATGGAATCTCTTTCATCCACTTTCTCCCTTCCATCTCAGCTGTTATTATTTCAATAATTCCTACTGAGCATGGAAAACCAGGTTTTACATTAGCAAAGTCCTCATGTATTCCATAAAGAAGGCAATAGGACTGTAAAGAAGGCTGAGTGCTGAAGAACTGATGCTTTTGAATTGTGGTGTTGGCGAAGACCCTTGAGAGTCCCTTGGACAGTAAGGAGATCCAACCAGTCAATCCTAAAGGAAATCAGTCCTGAATATTCATTGGAAGGACTGATGCTGAAGCTGAAGCTCTAGTAATTTGGCTACCTGATGGGAAGAACTGACTCATTGGAAAAGGCCTTGATGCTAGGAAAGGCTGAGGGAAGGAGGGGAAGGGGGCGACAGAGGATTAAATGGTTGGATGGCACCACCAACTTAATGGACATGAGTTTGAGCAAACTCTGTGAGATAGTGAAGGACAGGAAAGCATGATATGCTGCAGTCTGTGGGGTCGCAGAGTTTGACATGAACTTAGCAACTGAACAACAACAATGTATTCCATTTCTTAAAGTTATTTCTCAGAGGATTTCAGTTAGGGTTGGTTGGCTCATTATCTTGGAAGGAAAAGAGATAAGTGTAAGTCTCAAGTCTCCTTGGGTATGTTCATCTCTGATACATAGGAGATTTTCATGATAAGGTACAGAAAACTTACACAGAAATTATTCAGCTGGCTAAACTATTTTCCTTGGAAGCATTGTCATGAACTTAAAGCTAAGAATTTTAAGAGAATTGACATGATAGGTCAGATCCTTTTAGTACTAAAGCTGAGATTCCGCCCCCATCAACCTCAACCAGCTTCCTCTCTATTGCAGAAGACTGGGTAGTTTTCCTGGAGCTTTCATGAGTGTAAATCTACAACTTTATACCACGAGACCCAGCGCAGTGTGTCCGAAGCACTCTCCTAGAGTTGTGTTGAGGGCATACATTGGGTTACTGGTTACCTGTCTTTCATCCACTTTACGGCAGGAGAGGGGTCCCCAACAGCTTTACAAGGCAAGGCAATGTCTTTCATCCAGGGAGTAGTCACCGTGCCACTGAAAGTCAGGATTCGTGCCGGAGCTGGACCACCAAACAGAGCAGAAATGCAGTGACTCTACGGATTTGTCTACAGAGGCCAAGGTGACCTTCCCTAAACCAGCGACATCCCCCAAAGGCGAGTGCAGCCCTGCCAATCAATGTCACACCTCTCAACACTATTCCTTGTATCAGGTTGTGTCTAAGGGATTTTCACTGTATGAACATATGAACTGCTGAAAATCCCTACTGTAGTATTTTCTCCTCTTGTATTGACTAGACACGGGAATCCCAAATTAAATACATGGGACTTCATAAGCCTAGCAGTTCCAAGCTGTGCTTTCTGTGAGCCCAATTATATTTTGAAGCACTTTATTAAGCAATTTATCTCAACACCCCAAACTGCACATTAAAATATACTTTTAATACCTGAGAGAAGAGACAAAACAAAACATAAAACCCCAAGACAGGAAAAGGTAAAACTGGAATGACTTCTATTTATCAGTTTTGTGGTACTTTCCTGACTTTTTAAAATCAGCTTGATCTTCAGCATGAACGTTAAGGGAAATAAACTTATCCAGAGCGACCTCTCTTGAAGTACCACTATTTGCTTGGGATAGCGATTCTGATGCTGGAACAAAAGCTTCTCCTGGGGACGTCAGGCACTGGGACAGTCCCAAAGTGGCCAAAGAACATGGGGGTGGGGGGAGGGAAAAACCCAGGGCATCCCTGTTTGTAGGGGCCTCCTTGGATACCGGAGGGGTCCTGTACTGACAGGTTCCTAGCATCATTTGCTTGGGTGAGACACAAAAGCTGACAGAGGCACCAAGAGATGAGTCCTCCAGAGGCAAAATGATCTGCTTGGCCTCTGCCATACCCTGGGACCCTGGTTTCCGGGATGCTCCCTCCAGAAGCTCAGCCCATCTAGATGCACAGACAAGAAGCCCGTAGGCAGAAGCTGCTCCAATCTGATTCTGTACTCAAAAAGATGGGGCCAGTGTTGGGACCGTTGCACCATTTTGGACTTGAGGGCTGCGATTGACCAATGGACATGGGAGACAGGCTCCTTAGCAAAGTACTGGGATTCGAGGAAAGGTGGTGTTCCTGGAGCCAACTCAACAGGAGTCATCCTGGTCTAGAATACAAGTCATTATGAACTAGCAGACAACTCTGACTTTTGTTGTTTTTTGAGCACTGGAGTCCAGAGCAGACAGTGAGGAAGTGCCAGTGGGCTCAGAGGCAGAGTCTCTTTTATGCAGCAAATGTTACAGAAAAACCCACCCACGTGCTTGAAGCAACATGCCCTGCCCGCAAAGGAAACCGTGGCTCTTCCTCCTGAGGGGAACAGCTTCAGAGGTGGCCCAGCCAGGAGACCCTTCCACTGCGGAATGCTCTATCAGTAATGGACATTTCTGATTTTCCACCATGGGAACAAAAACATCCTGGGCAGGCGGCATTGGATTTCTGACACTGGAAGGCTGGTCCCTATCATACCTTTCAGACCATCCTTTTATATGATGAGGAGTGTTCATGCAGCAAAATGTGGGTTGATGAGGGAAATTCAGCTAGAAGTGGGGCTTTTAAGCTTTCTAATAGCCCCCTCCCCCTGTAAAAAAATACATTTTACATAAGAGACAAAACAAAACATAAAACCCCAAGACAGGAAAAGGTAAAACTGGAATGACTTCTATTTATCAGTTTTGTGGTACTTTCCTGACTTTTTAAAATCAGCTTGATCTTCAGCATGAACGTTAAGGGAAATAAACTTATCCAGAGCGACCTCTCTTGAAGTACCACTATTTGCTTGGGATAGCGATTCTGATGCTGGAACAAAAGCTTCTCCTGGGGACGTCAGGCACTGGGACAGTCCCAAAGTGGCCAAAGAACATGGGGGTGGGGGGAGGGAAAAACCCAGGGCATCCCTGTTTGTAGGGGCCTCCTTGGATACCGGAGGGGTCCTGTACTGACAGGTTCCTAGCATCATTTGCTTGGGTGAGACACAAAAGCTGACAGAGGCACCAAGAGATGAGTCCTCCAGAGGCAAAATGATCTGCTTGGCCTCTGCCATACCCTGGGACCCTGGTTTCCGGGATGCTCCCTCCAGAAGCTCAGCCCATCTAGATGCACAGACAAGAAGCCCGTAGGCAGAAGCTGCTCCAATCTGATTCTGTACTCAAAAAGATGGGGCCAGTGTTGGGACCGTTGCACCATTTTGGACTTGAGGGCTGCGATTGACCAATGGACATGGGAGACAGGCTCCTTAGCAAAGTACTGGGATTCGAGGAAAGGTGGTGTTCCTGGAGCCAACTCAACAGGAGTCATCCTGGTCTAGAATACAAGTCATTATGAACTAGCAGACAACTCTGACTTTTGTTGTTTTTTGAGCACTGGAGTCCAGAGCAGACAGTGAGGAAGTGCCAGTGGGCTCAGAGGCAGAGTCTCTTTTATGCAGCAAATGTTACAGAAAAACCCACCCACGTGCTTGAAGCAACATGCCCTGCCCGCAAAGGAAACCGTGGCTCTTCCTCCTGAGGGGAACAGCTTCAGAGGTGGCCCAGCCAGGAGACCCTTCCACTGCGGAATGCTCTATCAGTAATGGACATTTCTGATTTTCCACCATGGGAACAAAAACATCCTGGGCAGGCGGCATTGGATTTCTGACACTGGAAGGCTGGTCCCTATCATACCTTTCAGACCATCCTTTTATATGATGAGGAGTGTTCATGCAGCAAAATGTGGGTTGATGAGGGAAATTCAGCTAGAAGTGGGGCTTTTAAGCTTTCTAATAGCCCCCTCCCCCTGTAAAAAAATACATTTTACATTGAATTCCAGAAGCTGCACACATGTTATGTGTGTGTGAATGAAAACAAAGTTCTGCACATGAATGCTCACTGTGTCATGCATTCTGATATTTTCTATTTTTTTTTTCAAGCCTAGTCTAGATTCCTTGACTATTCCATTCTGTTTCATTTCAGTTCTCTAGTATGCCGACTCTAACTCCTAAAATTCTTTCCAGGACTTAGTGCTTTTCCACCAGCGTTTTGCAAAAGCACTGGCTAAAACCACTTCATTTTCAAGCCCAACACTCCTGGTTTCTAGAATTAATGCCTGTTGGTGGCAGTTGGCAGGTATAGGATCCCACTGTGAAATTCTAAGACTAAGCAAACTGGAGCAGGCAGGAGAATCACCTAGAATGTTTGGTGAAAAAAATGCAGATTCCTCCTCTGGCTCTGTGATTCAGCGGATCTCAGGGGCGCTCCAGGAGGCCGGCTTTGAATGAGAACCTCAGGTGATTTTAATCAGACACTGTGCCCCACCAGCAACCTGCATGTCCTTCCCAGTTGCTATGGTGCTCCAGCTACATGGTCCTGAGCTCTGCGCTGCCCCCTGACCCTGGGCTTCCTCTCAGAACATCATTCCCTCAGGACTGGGTCTCTGGTTGCATTCTGCTCCTCCTTGTACCAAAGCCCCAGCCCTCTTCCTGAACCTAACCCTGGATTTTCAAGCCTGTGGATCTGCCAGCCTGCCTTGACCTCCCAACAGCTACAACATAAGCCGCACCTGCCTCTTCCACATTTGGGCAGCCCCGTCTGTCCAGCTTGGACCTTTCAGCCATTATGGTTTATGATTTGCAAGGGTCTGGGGTTCCTGGGTGGTGCCAGCCCTCTGGATGCCTGCACCACCCCAGAGGCATTCCCTAGTTCAGCTCCTTTCTGGAAAGCCCATCTCGATCATCATCTCCAGCTCCGGGCAAACCCTGGTTAAGAGTGAGAAGCTGGAATCTTGGAAGGTCTGTTTTCCCTTTCAGGCACCTGGAAGCCTTATGAGTACTAAATTTCCAACGAGGTATATTCCAGAGTCAGGAGCATCTCTGGTTGGCTTGGAATTGTGAGGTAAATACATTTGTTCAGTAACAAGGGCTAATTTATGGGGACTCTGAACACTGTGTGGCAGCAATTACCAGAAGTCAAATAAGAATATTCTGTGTCTCTATGTGCTTTTTAGGGCCAGTATACCATCTTAATGTGAAGATATTACATTCACTTTGTGGAACGTTTTGTGCTTAAAACAAACTTCATTTTGTTATCTAAGGTCTTTACAGCATTCTGTCAATAGTTTCCGTGGTGGCTCAGATGGTAAAGAATCTGCCTGCAATGCAGGAAACCCAGGTTCAATGGAGAATTCCATGGAAAGAGGATCTTGACAGGTTACAGTCCATGGGGTCACAAAGAGTTGGACACGACTGAGTAACTTTCACTTTAACATCAATTGAAGAAGAACCAATGATTTTCTTACATTTGTCAGGTTTCAAATTCCATAGACCGAAAAATAGACATTTCTCTTGAAGAAGCATGATACCTGATTTTGAAGATGGTAGAACTTGCTTGGAAAGCAGTAATGTAGTGATTTTCACTCTAAGAGATGGATGGGGGCTCCTTTTCCTAATTTCTCCTGAGACACTGGCAGGTGTAAAGCTGCTCATCCATAGGAAGTGGTTTTCCGATTGGCACAAAAGCCCAGTGCCAGCCAGCACTGACCCATTTCTTGGGCTGCAATGGGTAACACGTGGTGTTCTGGTTTACTTGATTTGTAGGACATTATCAGCTTTATTTCAAAGAGAACAGAGGTGTAAAGCCAGTATGACTATAGTGGGAAATAAGGACCTTCCTACAGCGTGCCACCCACCTTTAGCAACAGGCTCCACGGTGATGATTTCACTGCTGTTGCCCCTGCCGGCTGAGGTCACGGCCACCACCCAGACGCTATACTGACGATTCCGACTCAGGTTAGGAATTCTGTAGGAAAATGAGTCAGGAGAGGCTTCAAACTCGCTGATCACCTGTGAGAGGAGACATAAATGTTCCCACATTCAAGAAGGCAATGGCACAAGTGAGTCTCCTAAAGGAACGGTTATCAACAGGTTATCTGTGATGAGAAACAAAAGCCACCTTAATCCTGCTCTAAAAGCTGGGGCTTACAATTTCTACATAGTCTGCATGTCTCAGTGCTGCAGCTTTGATAGCCACCAAGAGTGAAAAGTGGAAGCAGTGACAGATTTTATTTTCCTGGGCTCCAAAATCATTCAAATGGTGAATGCAGCCATGATATTCAAAGACCCTTGCTCCTTGGAAGGACAGCTATGACAAACCTAGACAGCATATTAGGAAGCAAAGATATCACTTTGCCGACAAAGGTACATGTAGTCAAAGCTATGGTTTTTCCAGTAGGTCTGTATGGATGTGAGTGTTAGACCATAAAGAAGGCTGAACACCAAAGAATTAATGCTTTCAAATTGTGGTGCTGGAGAAGACTCTTGAGAGTCCCTTGGACAGCAAGGAGCTCAAGCCTGTCAATCCTAAAGGAAATCAACCCTGAATATTCATTGGAAGGACTGATGCTGAAGTTGGAACTCCAATACTTTGGCCACCTGATGTGAAGAGTTGACTTATTGGAAAGGACTCTGATGCGGGAAGAATTGAAGGCAAAAGGAAATTGGGGCAACAGAAAATGAGAGGATTAGACAGCATCATCGACTCAATGGACATGAGTCTCAGCAAAATCCAGGAGATGGTAAAGGACAGAGCAGCCTGGCATGCTGCAGTCCATGGGGTCTGAAAGAGTCAGACATGACTTAGCAGCTGAACAACAACAAGGAGCAATTTAACCCTTTAAATATGGGTCATGACACATCTGTTTTCAGCTGGGATGGAATACCAAGAACAAGATGGATCACCCTACCTGAGACAACCAAAGAACACACAAAATATGTGGAACGACAGTTTCAAAGGCATTGCACATCAGGTGATGAAGAACAGTGATTCCTTCCCTGAAACATGGTAAATAAATGAGGTGAAGCCTACAGTTGCAGGGTTGTTACACTTCTGTGAGAGTTTTCAGGTCACAGCACTGAGAAGGGAATCCAGGAGAAGACCAGCATTTTCCCTGAGTCGAGGAGACAACTGAGAGCCTGGGAAGGGGCTGGAGCACACAGGAAGGAGTACTATGAAAAAACTGCGTGGGGAATTTTGGAAAGGTTGCTCTTGGATCTTAGCTGAGCAGATGTGTGCATGTGGGAAAGCTCTCTGAGGCCAAGGAAAGAACCACTCAGAAGGATTGGAGGTAGTGCTCAGCTTTCACACAAGGCTAGAAATAGTGCCTGTTCCCACCAACCAGACAGGAAGCCCTCAGGATCATGGGCCATTGGATATTGTGCATAGGGTCTTGATGGTGGGGGATAATTAGCCCTAGATCGAACCGTGTTCTTGTGTGGCCTATCTGCATGCATGCTAAGTCATTTCAGTGTTGTCCGACTCTGAGACCCGATGGACTGTAGCTTGCCAGGCTCCTCTGTCCATGGGATTCTCCAGGCAAGAATACTGGAGTGAGTTGCCATGCCCTCCTCCAGGGGATCTTCCAATCTAGGAGTGGAATCTGCGTCTCTTATGTCTCCTGTACTGGGACGTGGGTTCATAACCACTGGGTGCCAACTGGGAAGCTATTGCTTAACAGTTATTAAACTCAAGATTCATAAAGATCAAACCATCACCAAATAACTGAACTGCATCCAAGGACAAAAGTCAAAAAGGCCTATACTTTTTATAGGAATAAAAATATCCAATAAGGTAAAAGACATAATATTTGGCATCCAATAAAAGTTTTCTAGATATGAATAACCCAACTATGTAGCAACTAATGAACAGATAAAGAAAATGTATTGCACCATAAAATGGAGGATTATTCAACAATAGAAAGAAATGAAGCACTGATACATGCTTAACTTCCATAAATCATGGAAACACTGTACTAAGTGAAAGAAGTCAATCACAATAAACTATTTATCTGATCATTATGCTTAGATTATCATATTAGGCTATGTCATATTAGATTAATATGATTATAATATGAGGTTAATATGATTACCTTGTATGAAATGTTCAGAATAGGCAAATCCATAGTAACAGAAAGTAGATTAATGGGTTTCCCAGGGCGGGATAGAAGAGGGGAAGAATGGGGATAGATTAATATTGGGTATGGGTTATTTGGGGGATGATGAATGTTCTAAAATCAGATAGTAATAGGGGCTGTACAATTCTCTAAATATTCTAAAAGTCACTGAATTTTATACTATAAAAGCATGGATTTCATGGTATGTGAACTATAACCAAAGCAAAAAAACCTGTTAAAATGGATGGACCTAGAGATGATCATACTAAGTCAGAAAGTGAAAGACAGATATTACATGATATCAGAATCACAGACGTAGAGAACAGACTTGGGGTTACCAAGGCGACAGAGGGGAGGGGAGGGGTGGATTGGGAGTTTGGGATTAGCAGATGCAAACTGGTATATACAGCATGGGAAAACAACAAGGTGCTACTGTATAACACAGGGGACTGTATTCAATAGCCTGTGATAAGCCGTGATGGAAAAGATATGAAAAAAAACATATATTCATGATTGAATCAATGCCGTGCAGCAGAAATTAACACATTCTACTTCGATAAAATAAATTATAAAAAAACTGTTATAAAAAGTCCAAAAATGCAAAGAAACAACAAAAAGCAAGACTCATACAGACAATATAATAAAATCAATCAAAACTGACCTATAATTGACAAAGATTTTACAGACAAGGGCATTAAAACTGTTATAATTGTATTACAGTTGCATTATAACTATAGATATTAAAAGCCTAAACATATACATGAATGATATAAAAAGACCAAAATCAAACTTGAGATGAAATTATAATATGTGACAAGAATTATATACTGGATTAGATTAATAGTAGATTTGATCTTGCAGGAAAAAAAGGGTTAGAAAACTTAAAGTTATATTACTAGATGAAGCACAGAGATAAAAGAGAATACAAAATTTAACACAGCTTTAATGAGCTATGGAGCAACATCAAGCAGCTTAACATATATGTAGTTGGAATCACTGAAGGAGGCAGGACAGAAAAAAAGTGTTTGAAGAAATACTGGTTAAAATTTTTTTGCAATTTGATGAAAACCATAAGCCCAGAAAGCCAAAAATCTAAATAAAATCCAGCCACAAAATATGAACAAAACCATGCCAAGGCACATCATAATCTAATTAAGAAGACAGTCTTAAACGAGCTAGAGAAAAAACATGTTAGATACATTAAGAACAAAGATAAGGATGTCAGATCTCTTATACGTGGAATCTGAAGAGGAATGACACATATAAAGTTTTGTCCCTGTTTCATCTATTAATATATCTTATTTATAAAGCAGAAACAGACTCACAGACTTAGAGAATGACCTTATGGTTGCTGGGGGTGAGGGAGGGTGGAGGATGGGGGGAGGGACTAGTTAGGGAATTTGGGATCCACGTGTACACACTGCTATATTTACAATGGACAGCCACAAGGCCTACTGTATAGCACAGGGAACTCTGCTTAATGTTACGTGGCAGCCTGGATGGGAGGGAGTTGGAGGAGAACGGATACTGTACATGTATGGCTGAGCTGCCCTGCTGTGCCCCTGAAACTATCACGACATTGTTAATTGGCTATGAGAGTGAAAGTGATGTCTCTCAGTCGTGTCCGACTCTTTGCGACCGCACGGACTGCAGCCTACCACGCTCCTCCCTCCATGGGATTTTCCAGGCAAGAGTACTGGAGTGGGTTGCCATTTCCTTCTCCAGAGGATCTTCCCGACCCAGGGATTGAACCCGGGTCTTCTGCATTGTAGGCAGACACTTTACCGTCTGAGCTACCAAGGAAGTAATTGGCTATAGTCCAAAATACAATAAAAAGCTAAAAAAAGGAAGGATGTCAGCAAGTCTTGTCAAAAACAATTTTAGTCTGATTATCTTCCCTAAAGTCATATATTGAAAGCACACTCTTCCAGGACATGGAAGCAACATAAATGTCTATCAACAGAGGAATGGATAAAAAAATGTGGTACATATATATATCATAGAATACTCCTTGGCCATAAGAAAGCAGAAAATAATGCCATTTTAGAGCAATATGGATGGACCTAATGACTGTCATGTTGAGTGAAGTAAGTCAGACACAGAAAGACAAGTATCATATGATACTGCTTATATGTAGAATCTTATAAAAGAGTAAAAACAAATTTATTTACAAAACAGAAGTACAGTCACAAATGTAGAAAACAAACTTATGACTACAGGGGGAAATAAACTGAGAGATTGGGACTGACATACACACAGTATTATATATAAAATAGATAACGAATAAGAACCTACTGTGGAGTACAGGGAATTCTACTTAATACTCTGCACTGGACTATCTGGGGAAAATCTAAAGAATGAATGGATATATGTGTTGATACATGTATAACTGATTCACTTTTATGATTCATACACCTAAAACTGGCACAACATTATAAACCAAATATACTCCAATAAAGTTTTTTAAAAAGATAAACAAGTACTAGGGATGTAATATACAACATGGTAAGTAAAATTAACACTTTTGTATGATATATTATGAAAATTAAGAGAGTAAATCCTAAGAATTCTCATCACAAGGAAATTTTTTTTCTATTTCTTTATTTTTATATCTATATGAGATGATAAAGATTCACTAAACTTACTGTAGTAATTATTTCGTGATGTGTGTAAGTCAAATCAGTATGTTGTAAACCTTAAACTTACACAGTGTGGTATGTCAATGATATTTCAAGAAAATTGGAAGAAAAAAATGAAAAAAGATAACAATGTAGTGTGGGGTTCATAAAACATATAAAAGTGAAGTGTATGCGAACAACTGCTCAAATGTTAGGAAGGGAGAAAGATGGAAGCATACTATTGTAAGGTTCTCAAACTATCAGTAAAGTGCTTAAC